AAACTTCCAGAACATGGCCACACAGCCCGGAAGACCCACACCAGCCATCGTATGCCGGCCGTGAAAGCCTTCGACAATAAATTGGAGTGTCCCTTACATCAACAGTCAGAAAAAAAGGGGATTGCTTTTACAATCTTAATGGACTGAAGTAAATGCACTGTTTTTGTCTGCTTCTTTAGTGAACTAAGTTCTGTGTATTGTGTAGGCATGTGTAATTGTCACTGCCATTATTTGTTATGGGAATTTTAAAAAATAATTCCCTTGGCCCTTTTTCCTGTAGCTCAAGTAGTACATAGTGATACAGACTATTATTTACCTGGTTTTTGTCCCAAGGATGAAAAATGAGAAGCAAGGGACTTGTGTTGAATAACCATTGTTTCCTATGGTGGAAAACTGGAAACAAGGTTTGTCTTGAGAACACATTTAATTCAGAACATTCTAATGGGACATCTCAGAAGAAAACTTTTTCGTTGCATTTACACTCCTCAGATTAGACACCTGCAATTGATTTCCTTACTTCCTGATCCTTGTACGCCACTTAAACTACCTTCACTATGGATGTATTCACTTTTGTTCATTTCTCTTGAGATTTCTATGGTCTTTGATACAGCTGGTCATAGTCTTTATACCACCTGCTTGTCTTCCTACCTGTCTAAATGTTAGGAATTTTTCTAAATGACAGCATTACAGATAACAGGAAAATCTAGAATGCGATAGAAGTTGAAGTTCTCTGGGGGAGGTGGGTAGCATATAAATTTAATAAATGAACAAGGAGACAACAGCTACAAAGCTAACTATACTGTTTTTTTCACCCCATGTGGCTCCTTTTCCTGAAGTCCTTGCTTCTGAAACACATCTCCTACCTGTCCCTCCAGCAGCCACTTTTTGAGCAACACCAGTTGTCCAGAGAGGCTGTCAGAACTCTCAGATGAATCCTCCCAACGAAAGGCTCGCACCACACGGTCAGTATAGCCTATTACCAATTCACTCTTTCCATCTCCGTCTGCAGGGAGCAAAAGGCAGACTAAAATTTGTAGCTTGGAAGAATAAATTGTAGAAAATCACAAAGAAACAAAAGGAATCCATCTTGCTTGTTCCAAAACATCATACCATGTGCTCTCCGATAATCAATTAACTTTAAATCAATGGCCTAAGGTACACTTATTTAATTATTGTTTCCAGAATCTTAATGTAAGACTGAATGAAAAATAAAATAAAGATCTTTCTTGCAGTAAACACCATTGAGAGGACATGATCTCTGAAGTTGATATAGTTAATTCTATTCTGATGGTTCAACTGATTCTGCCATCAAAGACTTAATACCTAGCAGGGGGGAAATTTATGAACCATAGCTAGATCAAAAGTCATGGATATTGCACATTCTTCAGCTACTTCCCTGGTTGAAGGACTTGGAAAATCACATCATCCCTTCCTTTGGTCAATTTAGAACTATTATGTGTTCCTTTTCTCTGACCTGATTTCCCTTCCCTTCCCTTTTCCTTCCCAAGTCTCCTTTTTCAGCACCATAGTGACTGGGAATGGTCATTGAACGAATGGTTGGTAAGCAAGAACTACCTGTATACTAAGTTTACTTACACAGCATTATATTGTTTTTTTTTCAGAGAAAGAAAACTGTGTGAAACATGGTGATTTCTGTAGTATACAAATAGACCTCACTTACTGACTGCCTCATTCAGCGACTGTTCAAAGTTACAACAGTGCTGAAAAAATAACAACCAATGCCTGCATTTACAACCTTTGCAGCATTCCTCAGTCACGTGATTGCCATTATAGTCAGTACATGTTGTCCTGTGCCTGATCTGTTGTTTTTCTTTTTTTCCCTCCCTTGCAGAGCAGAGAGATCAGAGAGGAAGGGATTACAAGAGAGTAAGCCGGCACACAATGGGAAATATACCAAGCTGGGGCAGCTGGCACCACTGCATTCCTTTTGATGTGTATTCCTCATTGTGTGCCTGCTTAGTCTCTTGTAATCCCTTCCTCTCCAATGAATGTAAATACAAACATTAATGCCCTTCTTGCTAATAAGCCCAGTGCCAGAGTGAGCATTCCAAAGGGCAGGGGAGTGGGGAAAAAAGAAAGCTGAAGTAAAATCGTTAGGAGACAAATAACAGCTGAAGGTGTGAAACTGATTAGTCTTGTCAGTTTTGAGCTGGCTCTCCCAGCACTGGGGTGAGCATTCCAAAAGGTGGGGGAGTGGGAAAAAGGAAAGCACAGTCACGGTCACATGATTTCCCACTTAGCGATCGGTCCCAATTGTGGTCACTAAATGAGGACAACTTTTATCAGATATTTAAGAACCAACAACAATTACAATTCACTGAAACTCATAGAATGGTCACTACTAATTTCAATACTTTCATTTATGCCGTAATCACATTTATGTAACAATATAGAATCTCATTACCATTAGAGAAACTGACTGCAATAAAATACAACTAAAATATAGCTATTTATCCTCCCTGACTCTAAGTAATTAACAATAAAAAAATACAAAAATAAATTTCAAGTGAACTTCTGGTTGCAAAGCTGGTGCAAGCAACAGCAGTTTGGATTTTTTGATTTTTAAAATTCAGCGAGGAGAGACTGCTTTGCAGAGATGGAATTTATCTCACTAAAGGCAAAAAGTACATCTTTGGACAATGGCTGGCTAACCTGCTCAGCAGGTTTCATAATGAGATACAAGGGGGCAACAGTTGTACAACCACTCATGAGTAATAAACTGGCAAGTAATGAACTGAATACAGCAGTGGAGCAAAGGGCTTTGGAAATTATTACTAACAAAAGAAATGCTGTGGATCCTGTCTGCCAGAGAATTACATTTGGTGGGTCCCAGGAGGTGGGCCTTCCCTGCTGTGGCACCTGCCTTCTGGAATCTTCTCTCCCCAGAAGTGAGATTAGCTCCATCCCTCTTAACATTCTGCAAGTCCCTCAAGACCTGGCT